ATGGACATTTGCATTACATACCACACAATTCTTATGTATTTACATATCTAACACCCAAACTTTCATATTAACATTTTTAATACTTTGATGTCATAAATTTATTCATAAAGATGTGTATTTCATTTTTAAAAGGTACGTCAAAGTGGTATTTTTTATGCGATTATAAAGATTTGAGGCTATGCATGTAAATATTAAAGTTGCTTAGCATTAGTTGAATCATGTTTAGTGATTGGGTAATACTGTCACAGCATGTTCCATTCGTTGATTAGCATAAACTTTTAGTTCGGTAAATTTCCACTTTAGTTGAAATGACCATTTTCTCTCCTCGATGATACTTTTGCTTAAATACAATGTGGCTTATGTGCGTTTCATACAACAACAACAAACCTTTCTCCCACCAAGTGGGTTCGATCATATGAATCATTTTCCTCTATTGCGTCCTATTGAGTGTCATATTTTCATTTAATTCTAATAAATTAAGATCATTTTTTATACAATTTACCCTAGTTTTTCTAGGTTTACCTCTACCTTTTTTAACATAAGTTGACGTTAATGTGACCAAGCCATCTAAGCCTACTCTTTCTAATTTTGTTGGTCACTGGAGCTACACCAACCCTATCACGGATATATTCATTTCGCATTTTTTCTCTTAAGTGTAAAACCACTCATCCACCTAATCATTCTCATCTCGACAACATTTAACTTAGTTTTATGCTTCCCTTTTAAAGTCCAACATTCAGCGCCATAGAGCATTGCAGGTCTCACCGTCTTCTTGTGAAATTTTCCTTATAGTATAAGCGGTACTTTATCACAATAGGCCCAAAGCATTCCTCCACTTCAACCAATCATCTTGAATTCTACTAATAACATCCCTATCTATAACACCATCACTTTGAACAATAGACTCGAGATACTAAATTGTTCACTCCTTTTAATAATTTGATCGCCCATAATTATAACTCTGTCACTAGAGCTACACTATTAACAACATATTCCATGTATTCAGTTATATCTCTACTCAAACTAAAGCCTGTAGACTCCAATGTAAACCTCCATAATTCAGGATTTTTTTTTGAGCTTTCTCTCTAATCTTATCCACGAGAAGGATTCCACGAGAAGGATATCATCAGTTCCACGAGAAGGATATCATCAGTAAAAACATACACTAAGGTACATCCTCCTGTAAATGTCTAGTAAGAGCATCTATAACTAAAACAAAAGATCGGGCTTAAAGCCGATCCGTGATGTAATCCAACTGAAATAGGAAAATATTTGGTCAACTCTCTTTCTGTTCGAACACAAGTAACAACTCTAGTATACATATATTTAATGACTTGAATAAAAGTCATATCAACACCTTTCTTCTCAAGAACTCTCTAAAGGATATTTGTTGGAACCTTATCGTAAGCTTTTTCTAAATCAATAAAAATCATATGTAGATCCTCTTTATTCTCTCTGAACTTTTCCATCAAACCTCTCAATAAATGTATCGCTTCTATAGTAGTCCTGCCCGACATAAATTCAAATTGATTATGAGAAATCTTTGTAATACGTCTTAAACTATATTCAATTGCCCTCTCCCATAATTTTAAAGAATGACACATAAACTTAATTCCTGTATAATTTACACACTCGTGTGCATCTTCTTTATTCTTAAAAATGGGGACCAAAATACTCTTCCTCCACTCCTCAAGCATTTTTTTAATTTTCAAAATAATATTAAAGTGTTTAGTAAGCCAAGAAACTCTTAAATCTCCTATATATTTCCCCACTTCAATTGGATATCATTAGGTCCTACAGACTTTCCACCAATGATTTTCTTTAAAACTTTCTCAACTTTTTTACTAATGTGACGATAAAGATGAAACATTTTATTATTATTAACGATATAAGATCACTAAGGTCGATCATATTTTCAGAAACTTCATTAAAAAATTTATTAAAACAACTCACTCACTTATGTTGAATACTTTTTTCTAAGAAAATTTTTTTGATTTTCATCTTTAATACACTTTATTTGAGTTAAATGTTTACTTTTCTCTTTATTTGATTAGTTTATATATATATATATATTTATCCTTTTTAGTGTCTAATATATTATAAATATCACTAAAAACAAAATTTTTAGTATCACAGATTGTTCTCTCTAACTCTCATTCGAGTCATTTTATACTTTTCACAGTTCTCTAAGCTTTTACATTTAAATCAATTTTTATAATATAATTTATATTTTATCTTTTCTGACACATTATTATTCAACCACCAACGCTTTTTATTTATAGAATTTTTTTCTTTTGATTCTTTATATACAATTTTTGTCACTCGTTTAATATTGTTTGTTACTTTATGCGACATAGAATTTGTTTCATCATGAACATTCCAAATCTTGGAATCTTGAAGTTTACTCATAAAAATAATTTTATTTAAGAATTTTGGGTGCCCCTTTTTAATTTTACGACAATGATTCCTATTATTCTTTATTTTACAACTCTTCATCTTAAAATCTAGAATTAATAATCGATGTTGAATAATTAAATTCTCACTTGGACTGACCTTATAATCTTTAAATTCTCGACGATCTATTCTTCTCTTAAGAAAATAATCAATTTGTATTTTATTAGATTTATTCTTATAAGTAATAATATGCTGATCTCTTTTCTTGAATAAAGTATTAGTATGCTCATACTCTAAATCAAAATCTAATATGCTACCACCTTCTTCATTAATCACTTCAAAACTGAAGTCATCATGAATATTTCTAAAGTTTTCTATTACTCTTCCGACATGTTCATTTAAATCTCCTCCAATAAAAATTCTTTTTTCAAGATGTTTCTTTTTAATTAAGGGTCTGTTTGGGGCAGCTGCAGCTTATTGAATAATCTGCTGATAAGCTAGGTGTAGTGGCTATTACAAATTTTTATTTTTTTGGAACTGTCAGACCATTGTCAGAAATCTGCCACCACACATAGATAGATGCGGTGAGAAAATATTACTATTTTCAGCTTTTTGAAAATGCATAAACTGTCAAAACGCAGTTTACCCAAACAGACTTGATGCATTTTCAAAATGTCACCGCACGAAATAAGCTGCTCTAAACGACGAGGCCATGTCTTCCAAGTCATTCCAGAATTTTTTCTTAGAACCTACATCTAAACTTACTTAAGGAGTGTAAACATTTATAATAATAAAAATCTTAGTATCAACAATAATTCTAAGGGTTATAATTCTATTTCCAACTTTATTAATTTTTACAACATTATCCGTTAAACTCTTATTTATACACACATCATTTCTAATGTAACTCTTACCTGAATACCAAAGTTTAAAACATAGATTATCAATCTCCTTAGTCTTTTCTCTAATACATTTAGTTTCTTGAATATATGAGATATTTATCTTTCTATGAATCATAATATCAACTAATTTCATTAATTTATCTGTAAGAGTACTTATATTCCAATCTTCATATTAATTTCATGAACTAACTTCTTTACCTGCATCCGTCCATAACGTGAGAACCCTTACTTATTTGACACTACACCCAGGCGCCAATGCAGCGCTCTTGCTCACTTTTCACTGTAATCAAGCCATACGACATGTCGTTTCGAGGGGATGCCATAGCATTTACATAAAATGATTAAAAAATTCATGTCATGATTTTTTTGACAAATTTTACGTTGGCTGTCGATTATTTAACACAATCCTCTACTTTTCACATCTGGGGCTTGGGACCCGACAATGACAGTGATGTGCGTTTCATAAGTCAATAAATATTAATTTCCTAGATTTATATACGCATCACTCAATTCATCTGTATTTACATATCTAACACTTGAACTTCAATTTTTACATACATGCCACCTTACCTATGCATGAAAAGGTGCATTTCGCTTTTGAAAGTTAAAATGGTGCCATTTTTTATGTTATAACAGATTTTGATAGTATAGATGTAAAAAAAAAAGTTTACGTGTTTGATACGGAAATACATAGGAACTGATGGGAGTTGGCGGAGCCTCTCATCGGAAGTAGCTATGGACTTTGTGTTATCCAATCGAATCCTAACAAACTGAATTCTTGTTTTGAGCTTTAGTATTTTATTTTTTTTGGGGGGGGCGGGGGGGGTGCCGGGAAACATTTTTTTGAGTCAGTTCATTGTAATCAAATCATGCTTTATCATCTTAAACTTTGGTTCTAAGTTGCGCTTGTTACGAGTTAGGTGAACTTTAATGGTGCTATAGCAATTCCTCTGGCGGACTCTTTAAGATCCGATGGGTCTGCAATTTCTACTTCTACATTCTTTTTTATTTTTGGAAGATTTACATAAATACAACTCAATTCTTATGTGTTTACATATCTAACTAAATTTTAATTTTAACAAACATGCCATCTTACCTTTGCATGAAAAGGTGTATTTCACTTTTTAAATATTAAGATGTATTATTTTTTATGTGATATGAAAGATTTGAGTCATATAAATTTAACAGTAAAGTTTAGGTGTTAGATATATAAATTCTTAAGAATTGGATGGTATGTATGTAAATGCTGCTATATTTTTGTCGCAAAAGTTTTGATCTGTAGTTATAAAATAAAGAGAGTTACGAATGAGAGATTGATTCACCCAATCAAACCCCTGTTGAACAGATTCAACTCTTGAGAATCTTATGTTGTTTCTGGGAAGTTTATCAGAAAATTTACATACATATCACTCAATTTCTATCTAATTACATATCTAACACCTAAACTTCAACTTTTACATACACACCGGTATACCAATTTATCTATGCATGAAAATGCGTGTTTCATTTTTTAAAAGTTAAAATGGTGGTGTTTTTTAATGTGATATGACTAATTTTTGTCGTATAAATGTAAAAAAATAAAGTTTAGGTGTTACTTTTGTAAATAAATAGGAATTAGGTGGTGTGCATGTAAATGCCCCCAGCTATATTTGAACGTTTTGCCTTTCGATCAATGCATAGTTGGACTGATGTTTTTGAAAACAGGTGTTTGCAATCACGCTTTTCATTTTCACTGCATCAGCAGGTGGCTTAAAACCCGTCAAGTTTGCCCACTTGGTAAGCGTTGTTCTTCGTATTACTTTTAAACTTTGGGAGATTTACATACATATCTCACAATTCTTATGTATTTACATATCTAACACCCATATTTACGCTATAACATTTTGGTATCATAAACTTATGCATGAAATTTGTGTTTCACTTTTGAAAGGATAATGATGGTGGTGGTCAATCAAAAGGCTGTGTTCCACCTTATCTATCCTAATTCATTGGTAGTGGTCGTTGAGACCAGAAAATTTTTTTGCATTTCTTCAAACTCATGATCTGAATTTAAAGAGTCGCACATTCTGAGGACATCCTCGAAGAGCGTGACTTATTTCTGATGTAGTGTTAAATGTTTTCAGCGGCATGCATTAAATATGAATGTTTAGGTGTTATATATGTATGTAAGAACCATGTGGTATGTATGTAAATGTATCTTTTAAAGTTTTTGGGAAATTTACATACATACCTCACAAATTCTCATGTATTTTCATATCTAAACACCCAGAGTTTGATATTTACACTCACAATACTTTGTTACCATAAACGTATGTATGAAAACTTGTGTTTTACTTATAGAAAGATAATGATTGTTGTATTTTTGATGTGATGTTAAAGATTTAATTGTTATGCATGTAAATATGAATGTTAGATATGTAAATACATAAGAATTGTGTGGTTTGTATGTAAAATACCCCTTCAATTTTTCTCTTGATAGCATGGGTTTATAATTTTTCTTCTCATTTTTTTTAAAAAATTTATTTTTTATACTAATTTGCAGACAATAGTGAATGGGAGTTTCAGAAATATGGTCACTAGAACAAAAAAGATTTTGGGACGCCATTATCTGCTTTGGACGTGATGCTGCTGCTTCTGTTAATTGTTATCCTGCTTAGCTTTTTTCATCATTCCAAACATAAAAAAGCAGTCATAAACTGTAAGCATTGTTTTTCCTTTGTGCAATTTTGATGTCAAAGATATCTACTTGAACATTATAAGAACCATTTAAACTTCCCAGCTACTCTCTCTCTCTCTACTAGTACTCAATTCTATATTGATGAGTGCAAAATAGTCCCTAACTATTACATAATGTCATTTTAATCCCAGTTTATAAAAGTGTCAAAATAGTCTTCCCTAGGAATTATTTCAATTTCAATTTAAATAGTCGGGACTATTTTGGCACTTTACTTGTTTATCTGTATATGGAAAATTTACATATATGGGAAGTTTGATATTTACACTTTTTTCAGTTATTATATTCACTTTGGTGTGATATACCTTTACATGAAAAGGTGCATCTCTCTTTTGGATGATTACTGATGATGGCATTTTTTATCTGATGTCAAAAGATTTTGAGTGTTATATAATTATAAATATGAAAGTTTAGGTGGTCGACATGTAAATGCATAAGAATTGTGTGGCATGCATATAAATTTCCCTACCTATATATATATATATA